ATGAGGGCAATGAATGTACAAATGTGCTTTACACAATTGATGTATGTATGGATTGTGATAAGAGTTGTATGAGACCCTAATAAAACGATTAAAAATTTAAAAAAAAAGCAATTATACATTAGGAAAACATTGCAGCCCAGTCCAGATCAAGTCTATAAGTCCGATATTACCCCATATGTTGATACTAGTCCATAAATTCCTCTGTAGACTCATGCAGCCATGCAATGAGGCTGAATGCAGGAAGATCACAGGCCAGTGGGTGGGAAGTCTTGTGGATCCAATGGTGGTGGAAGCATTGCGGTGCTGGCGTGGGTCTCCACGTGGCTCCTCCAGCTCCAGGACTCTGGCTCCACCAGTGTAACTCTATGTGGCTTGTCATCAGGAATATGAAGCAGAGAGTCAACCAGAGAATGTGGGTCTGGCCTCCAGTGAGTTATTTATCTCTGGAGTGCCTCCAAATGAGGCCATCAAGCTGCAACATGATTGACAGGCTAAACTCCACCTTTTTACTCTTAATAGTCTCAAGTTGACACCAGATTATGTAACTACCACACCCTTCCTCATAGGGTTGCTTTGAATACGCTTTCTCCCTGATTGTCACACTGCCATGGGCTAAGCGTGGGAACACATCAAAGTGGCCGGCATCTTCAAACACATTTCCCAGGTGACCATCAGCAGTTACAGATCCGAAATCACACATCTCACACTCCCTCGTCTACTCTGGTACCTCCCAGACAGGGTGGCAGCAGCCCAGGGTGGTCGTTACAGGCGAAGGCCCTGGAGTCAGTTACCTGCATATCCCAGTACAGCTGTGTGGCCTTGAGACTCTTTCCTCATTTGTAAAATGAATATTAACGTACTAGTATGAACTTTAGAGGATTGTTTGAGCATTAAGTGAGCTTGCCTGGGCCGGGCCACACAGAGTGAGTGGTCAATCACGCTAGCTATTGATAGAAAGTTTACTGTGGGAGTTAGATGGTTTTATGTCACTTGAAGCCATATGAAAGCGCAGGGGTGGAATCCAACCTGTCAGTCAGACCACAGCCAGATGATGGCCTTCTTATAAGGAGGAGCCTGGGAACTCCCCTCTCTCTTTGCCCTTTCAACTTCCTGCTTGCTGGGACTCTGCCTCTGACCCGGGAGCTGCCGGTGCCTTGCCATGTTTCCACCTACCTTGGATCCACAGGGCTCTGCACCCACCGGCCTGGGGTCTTCCTGCACTCTGTCAGTGCATGCGGCTTCATGAGTCTTAGAGGGACTTATGGACTAGTATCAGACGTATGGGCTTGAGCTGGATTGGGCTGGGATGCCTTCTTCATATGTAATTACATCTTTATTTAAAGTTTTTTCTTATATACAGATGAGTGTCACTGGATTTGTTTCTCTAGAAAACCTGTCCCAACACAATTAGTATAGCCATTTCTCAGGAAACAAGTGTATATAGCTAAGCATTGGACTGCTAAACACAAGGTCAGCAGTTCAAACCCACCAATCATTCCATAGGAGAGCGACGAGGCTGTCTACTCCTATAAAGCTTTGCCATCTTAGAAACCCTAGGGCCGCAATGGGCACAATGGTGGCAGTTTGAAGTGCACATTATGCATAGCGGGTACAAGGTGAGGAAACCCATCTGTGCCCCCCAGGAGCACCTAAGGATCTGGGGAGAATGGGAGGCAGGACTGAGACATGGGAGGGCATGAGCTCGGTGCTAGGGAGCAGAGAGGGCTGACTCAGTCCTGAAAGGCAGGGAGGAGTTAGCCCAGCTAAGGAGAGGAAGGGACCATCAGAAAACACTCATTTATTTAGAAAACCGACGTGCATCAATTCTACCTTAATTCGATTGTTGAAATACTATAAGAGTGTCCTTGTTCTAAGAACTGCGGACCGATGTAAACACAACTAAGTCCCTGTTGTCATCATGTTGCTAGTCTTCTTCGCTGCCGGTGACCCAGAGGGCTTCCCTGGGGCTTCATTGGCTGATGCTGTTCAGAAGGAGGATCACCAGGTCTTTCTGCTTTGCCTGACTTAAGTCTGGCAGCTCCATGGAAACACACAGAAGCATCCACGGACACAAAATGCATTGTGCACAAAATGCGTTGCCAGGAAGGTCAAGAATCTCACCACCGAACCACCAATGCCTCTCTCGTCATGACGACAGCTAACGCTTTGTAATATGCCACGTATTACGACTGGCCCTACATCTGGAGAAACCGGCACACCAGCAAAGCTGGTGATGAGCAGGCTGGAAAGGAAGGTAGCAGTAGTGCGGCGAAGCTTCAAAGCAGGCAATCTGGCAGCAGGTGTGGCCTTACGCACTGTGTCTGCCATGCCACAGCCACTTTCAGGGAGCTTGGGGCATGCTCGCCATCCACCCAGTGAGCTACCCATGGAAAACTGAGTGGCCCATGGAAAACAAGTCACTCCGGCCAGATTGAAGCGCGGGGGGATTGTATCCCGCAGGGCTGTGCTCTGGGGAAGAAGGGCCGAGACAGTAAGGGACTTGGCCAGGCCCCTCAGTGGCTGTTACCAGAATGGAGTCCAGTGACCTGGGATGCTGCGGGCAGGCCGCGGTGGGGGCTGGGGGTGGGGAGTGGCAGGGAAAAGGACTGCTTCCTGTAGAGCTTATCTTCGAGGCAGAAGAGGCTGGTCCCCGCCAGGAGGTCCCCGGCGTCGGCTGGCCAATGACGGCGCCCTGGGCCGGGTCCCCGCCCATGGGGCGGGACCTGGCAGGCCCGCGGGCGAGGCAAGAGCTCCCCGGGTACCAGCGCCGCCGCATCCGCGCCCGGCTGTCCGCACGCACTGCCCCGCGCGGCTCCTCACCCGCCCATCACCGCGTCCCAGCTCCCCCAGCCCAGCGGCGGCCTCCCCGCGAGGGCGCGACAGGTCGGGCCTGGCACGCAGCAGGGTCCAGCCGGGGTGGGTGGGTGAGGGGCGCAGTAGGGGTGGCGATGGCTCAGCTCGGTCCGGTCTGGGTGGGTGAGGGGCGGGCGCTGGACTTGGCTCAGGTTCGGGGGAGGAACGGGGGAAGGGAGGCCGCCCTATGAAGGGGCTGGGGCAGAACTGGGGTGCGTGTGGGGGCCCAAGCTCTAGATCGGAGCTCTGACCTGATCGAAGAGTCGACTAGGCTCGAACCTGGAACGGAACAGCGGGTGCGCAGGGGCTGTTAGCCAAGGAGCTGAGCTGTGTTGCTGGGGTCAGGGGGCGCGCAACATTGGGGGGCAGGGAGCAGAGCAGGATAGGGGTGCAGGGTATGGGGGTGTGGGACTGGAGCAGGCGGAGGACTGGAATGTGTCCGGGCAAGGACTTGATCTTTCCCGCTTGGGGGTGGGTGCTGATTGAGGGGGCCTGGGGGACGGCCGAGGTGTCTGGGCACGTGCTGACGGCACCTGGGGACACCCAGGCGACGTGCAGAGTGACGATGTTCAGGCTCGGAGGCACCCTGCTGTGCCTGCTGCTGGCTGCGGTGGTTCCCACGGCTCCCGCGCCAGCTCCCACGACGGCGACCGCTGCCCCCAGCGAATCCGGCCCAGCTCTCAGCTACCCTCAGGAGGAGGCCACCCTCAACGAGATGTTCCGCGAGGTGGAGGAGCTGATGGAGGACACCCAGCACAAGCTGCGCAGCGCAGTGGAAGAGGTGGGTACACCCTGGAAAGCGCAGGTCTGGGGGAGGAGGTGCTGGCAGGAGGTAGTGCTGCCCACCCCCATCCCAGGAAGGGCATCCTCACCTGAAGTGACTAGGGGAATCCCAGATTCAGCCACATTCTGCCTTCCTACCAAAGGGCTGGATCTGAGCCTGTCCCCCCAGTGTCTCTCCACCTGCCTACAGACTCCCACCATCTCTGCAGTTGTGCGCCAATTCCCGGCAGGGATTGGTTGCCCCTTTTGCAAGCGGGGGCTTGCCAGGCCCTTGGTATTCCAGCACTGTGGTTTAAAGAGAGGCTGAAGAAGTAGCCAAGTCTGCAAGTTCTAGCTTGTCCCTCACTTAGGCTTTGGGTTGGTGGCACCTTCCCAAGATGCAGTGCCCATGTCGCTCGCTGGCAAAGAGATGCACAGCCTTAGGCTTTGCTGGAAGTTTCCTCTCTGGTGGAGCTTGCTCCCCAAATCGCAAAGGATGGAAGTGAACTCCTTCATCCCAGCAGGTAATACAGCAAGGAAGCAAGGAGGAGGGGTCCTGTAGGGTCATCCCTATACCAAGTGGACTTTGGAGTGACGGCCGGGTTTAAGGCCCTCCTCTGTGACATCTTGGCACAAGTATAGGTGTCTGGCATGTGATAGGTGTTAAATATACCCAGGGTCAGAAACATCACTCTGTGGAGACGTCTCTCATGTCAGAGCAGGGCTGCTCCGCAGACAAGCTCACCATTGTCACCTTTGTGGAAGCAGACTGCCAGGCCTTTCCTCGGCGGTGCTGCTGGGTGGGCGGGTTGAAGTTCCAACCTCTTCAACATACAGTAGGTATTCTGAACATGTAAGGAACATGTACCGGGTCACGCATCCGACTGCTAACAGTAGGGTAGGCCGTTGGAAACCACCAGTCACTCCACTGGGAAAAGATGAATCTTTTTGCTCCTGTAAAGAATTACAGCCTGGGAAACCCACAGTTCTATTCTACCCTGAGGCAGAATCGACTCGATGGCAGTGGGTTTGGTGTGGACTTTATCGACGGATCTTTCCGTCATCTCACCAGGGATGCGGGAGCAGGAGGTACCACTGGCCCAGCTCTCCCCACCTTGGTGTGGGAACTGTCCCTGGTGCCTGGGTGGGTGGGCTCAGTCGCTCTGGAGAGGAGCCAGTCATCCTGGGGAAGAGTCAGGCTTCTCCACATCGCTGCAGCTTCCATCCTAGGAGCCCGTTTGGCTGGAGTGCCTTGGGCAAAGCCTTAAATCCTGGCTTCTGTCCACCTGGGAGAAGTAGCTCCCTCCTGCCAACCCTGTGCAGTTTAAGGATATCTGCTCCCCACACACCAGCTGCCAAGAATCAACCTGATGGAATTTGCAGTGAAGTGGACGCTAGATTAGGAATGCAGTGACACAGACAGTGTGCTTAGACACTGGGCAGCCGCAGACTCAGAGACTCCTGGGCTTTGTGTCCTGTGACAGAAAAGAGTTATGACCTTGAACAGCCCAAGAGTAAGAACGTCAGATAGTCCCCAATATCCCTTATCCTACAACTTCAAATGAAGTTGAGCTCGGGGGCCCCTTTGCTTCTGGGCCAGATCATTGCCTTGTCTATCTGGGGTCTTGGACTTGCCCTTCTGCCTGTGGGTTCCCAGTGAGACTAACCAGGTCACCACCAGGTGTTTGTTCCTGGGAAAGTGTCCCTTGGTGTGCAGAAAGGTCGCAGGGTGGTCGTCTGACGCTGGCTCCTGACTCCAGGAGGTGAGGGCCCTCAAGGGCCTTGTCAGTTTATGGCCGGGAGCAGTCTGGGCTCCCGCGGGACCTTAGAGGTGTGCTTTCTCCACGACCTCGTGTCAGTGGATAGCAGCCTGCAACACCCTATTTCCACACAAGCTCCCATTGACAGGAAAGGAGGTGTTTAACCTGTCTTTTGGGGAGATGCCATTCAATCCACTGCAGGGAGCAGTCTTCTTCATTTCACTTCAGCCACATATAAGCAGTGGGACCTGCGGCCTAAGAGAGAGAAAATGTCCATTTCTTCGGGTAAAAGGGAAAATTAAACAAGAGGTGCGGGTTAAGCAAAGTACTTGACTGTCGAACATGGAGTTAAATGGGTCTCCTACCAGGAGATCCCTCCTAAGATTGTAAGGCTTCTGGGAGAGGGTTGGTTTTCCAGAAAGAATAGAGATCATTATCCTCTTCCTCATCCTCGTAGTGTGAGTACTGCGTTCCACCGGTGCCTGGCAGCTAGTAGAGTCTCAGTGCATTGTGCTGTTAGAACTACTCTGTGTAAAGAGACCATCGTCCAGCAGAAGAGAAATGGTTTGAATAGCCCTGGGCCAGGTGCGTTCAGTGCTGACATAGTCGCATCATGAATTGCTTCTGAAGCCACTTCCTGCCATTTTAAATATTCCCGCTGACTCAAGGTGTTGATGTCTCTTAAGGGGGAAAGGCAAACGGACTTGGAGGGCCATTGCTGGGAGAAGTCAATCTTCGAATGGGTTCAAGACAAGGCCTTCCCACTTTCTTGCTTGATTCTTCTTACTGTGACAGATGAATGTGTTTTGGGGGCTCAATCTCCCCATGTCTCCTGTCCTTGCAGCCACATCTGTAACCCACCGATTTTCGAATGTCCTTAATGCTTGCCCAATTCCCAACAAGAACCCCAAAACCAGGCTTGGTTTTCTCTCCAATTTTTTTTTATTACGTCCCCTTCCGCAGCAGAGAGAGCCAACCAACCACCCATACCATTTTCAATAGTGTTTACTCGCCTCGCCTCCCCTCCGGAGCGACTCAGACTGCTCCGGGCTTCAGTTTCCCTTGCTGGTGGCAGTAATCGGTGTGGTTGAAGTTTCCACTGTAAACTGCCGTTTGCCTTTGTGGTGCCATTAAAGAACGCTGAGCTCATGCTGTTAAAGTAACTGCTGGTTAAGCCAGGGTGGGGGAAGCCCATGAAAGCAGCCTCTGCTCAGCACACAGCATCTTCCAGCTTTGCTAACTTTTCATCCACAGCATTTGAAAGTCAAACGGGAGGGTTTGAATGCCAGTGAGAATTTTTAAAAACATTAAAACTGTCCCTTCTCCTCCAGAGCCTATCCTCTCTCGTCTCTTCCGACTGGAGCTTTTCTGTCACGATTGGTGCCAGAATCGCTTACCTTACAAAGAAAAGCTCTTGTCTCCTTTCTGAATTCTGCGCCATTTGATTTTCCCTTTGTTGGCTGTCTGTTCTTTCCACTGCCCCTCACTCACTCTGGCAAGGGAGCTTCCTCCAAATGGCTTTCTCCCCATTGCTGCTGGCGCCATCGGGTGGATTTCAACTCTTGGTGACTGACATCGTGTGACTGTAGAACACATGCCCACTGTTCTCTGGGCTGTCATCTCCATGGGAACAGACCACGGGGTCTTTCTCCCATGGAGCCGCTGGGCATGGGGGTGTGAGGGCAAGCCACCAACCCGTGGGCAGCAGCTGAGCACTTAAATGTGTGCCACCAGGGCTCCTTGCTTTTTAAAAGAACAATGTTGTGAAAACAACCATGTGTCACGGCCCACCCTCACTTGTGGATTCCGTATTTGCAAGTGTGCCGACTTGCTGAAACTTACATGTGACCCCCCAAATCAATACTTCTGTGCTCTTTAGTGGGTATGCCCAGAGCGGTATTGATATGTGGGATCCCATGTTTGAGAAATTCATTTGGACAGTTCTGGGAACGGACCCAGGCATTTATCAATTAAAAGAAACGTGTGGAAGGCTAACTCCGATAATGCCTTCCTGGTTGAGAACCAGGCTTTCAGAGCCTGGTTTAGTTAGATCTGCCCATTGGCGCCTCTCCCCTCTTCACCATCCACCGTGCTGCCCTCTGCCCATCACAGACCCTTCCCTGGAGTCTAGCAGATGCCCACGGGACACACCAGTCTTGTCTAAGCCACCACAGCTCTGCAGGTCCTACCTGAAATATCTTCTGCACTCCCCGCTGCATCCCAAATCCCAGCATCCTTTGAGACTAGCCCAGCCATGCCTCCATGTCCTCCCACCATTCTTTCTCCATTGAACCTCTGCTTCATTTCTAGAGACTGTGCCACAAGGCAGCTCATAATCACACGACAACTCGCTTCTCCGTGCCTTTCTTGACTCGACGAAAAGCTTCAATTGCTCAGGGATGGTGCCGTCATTGGGAAAGGCCTGGGATTTGGAATCAGACTGACCTGAAATCTAATCCAAGGAGTGTGATAGGAGCCCTGGTGGCATTGTAGGTTACGTGTTGGGCTGCTAACCACAAGGCCAGGAGTTCAAAACCACTAGCCACTCTGTTGGAGAAAGATGAGGCTTTGTACTCCCTTAAAGAGTTATAGCCTGTGTTGTACAACACTTCTCTCCTGTGTTGTGGGGTGGATAAGAGTCAGAATCGACTCCATGGCAGTTGTGTGTGTGTGTGTGTGTGTGTGTTTCATTTGTGCAGTGTGATGACCTTAGAATCCTTCACTTCTCTCTGCTTCGTGTTCTTCAGATGAAAAATGAGAATCAGGTACCTTCCTCACAGGGTTGCTATGAATATTCAGAGCCCATGGGAAGTATCCAATGTCCTGGCTCAGCAGAAGCTCCAAACCAGGGGTGGGGTGGGGGGAGGGTGTTATATTATTATTATTATTATTATTGTAAAAGCACTGATGAACTTCCAAGCATCTCCACATTCACCTCAGTCACACACTCCAGCGGGCCGACAGCAGTCTCTGATGATGGCTTTGTGCTGTGATGGCCAGAGCTTGCCGAGCCTCTGTACCTGCGAGAATAGAACAGCGCTTCTCTGCTGCACTTACTCGTAAGCGCTCTTTCTCTCTGTCCACTCAGACTGTCAGATCCGGTTGGGGATAACAGGAGAGAGGGGCCTATATGGGGAACAGAGTCCAAGGGATTTGTTTCATGGGAATATTTTTGAGAATTTCAGGATTAAAAATAGCTCCGAGTCAAAGATAACCAGAGATGGCAGTGTTGAAAAATCGCCAGCTACCAACTCAAACTTCTCTTTGTCTCTCTCATCAGTAATTCCTAGCCTATTTGTCTGATTGGCTCAGCCAGGCCATGACACCGCTTCAGTTGGATTCGGTCCACTGTGAACATGGGTGGGGTGTGTTTTCTACTGCCCGCTCTTTAGGGCTGGGGCCAGGGCAATGAATCCAGACCAGGATGTTGGGTTCAATAAATAAAGGAACTGATATACAAGGGGGCATCAAAGAGTTGTTTGTGAGGAAATGCCATGGCCTTCTAATTCCAATTATCTGTGAACTTTTTGAAGCCCCCTCACTTCTGGTATAGAGTCGTGGAGGCTCATAGGACTGGACGTGAGGGCAATAGTTTCAGAAACCTGATGCCCGAGAAGGACATGTGGCCCTGGGAACCAGCCCGCTGATGGTGGACTGGTGTGAGCGGGGAAAAGAGATACTTCTGGGGCCCTACCAACAAGGGGCAAGAGGTTGTCTTAGTTTGGCCTCCCAAGTCTCACCAGGCCCCGAAATTGTTTATTTGGCCGATGATCCCAGGAAACACTAGGAAAATGAGATGGGCTAAGAGAAGACAGGCAACCAGAGGCCTGAAAATTAGCAACAAGCAGCCAAACCCACTGTCACCCAGACAATTTTTACTCATCGTGACCCTCTCCAGGGTTCCCAGGACGGTCGATCTTCACAGGAGCAGCCTCGTCTTTCTCCCTTGGGAACAACTGGTGGGTCTGAACTGGAGACTTTTCTGTCGGCCGTCAATGCTTACCTAACAGCGCCACCTACCATTCACATACCCTAGTGGTGCAGTAGATTATGCCTTTGGGCTGCTAACTGCAAGGCTCCTTCATTAGTGGGCAATTTAAGGCTTGGTGCCTTGATTCCAGGAGCCTTGGTGGCACTGTGGGTTAAGGACTGTGCTGCTAGCTACAAGCTTGGTGGTTCAACCCCACCAGCCACTGCACTGACAAAGTTGAGGCGGTCTGCTTCCATAAGGATTTACCATCTCGGAAAACCACAGGAGCAGTTCCATCGGGTTGTTCTATGTTGGGATCGACTCTGTGGCAGTGGGCTTGGTTTTTGGCTTTAGGACTTAATTCCACTGGGGCCCTTGGAAAGAAGCTGCAGGTCCTGCCTGCCCTAGACCTGCCCTGCTGAAAGCAGAGGATGATGGGGTGGCCTGCCCCCGCTTCCCCGCTGCACCTACCCATGGTTGAGGATCACTCCCAGGTGGGTCACTCTCGAGCACAGGTGGAGCACACATCTGAGAAGGTGCTCAGAGAGGCCAAGCAGGTTGTTTGCCCATAAGGGAAGGAAATGCAGGTAGGCTGCAGAGCAGAGGTTAGGTGCTTGGTTGCTAACTGAAAGGTCAGCCACTCAAACCACCAGCCGCTTCTGGGGGAAAACAGTGTGGTATAATATAGATGAAACCAAACCAAACCAAACAAAAAACCAACTCACTGCCGTTGAGTCAATGCCAACTTGACTCATAGAGACCCTGCGAGGCCAGGGTAGAACCGCCCCATGGGTTTCCAAAACTATAGCTCTTGATGGGAGTAGAAAGCCTCATCTTTCTCCCAAGGAATGCCTGATGGTTTCAAACTGCCGACCTTGCAGTTAGTAGCCTAACACGAAACCACTATGCCACCGGGGCCTCTCCATACAGATGGCAGCTTAGAAATCCTATGGGACAGCTATCGTGTCTCCTGTGGAGTCGACGTGAGTTAAGTAATCTGAATCTATGTAAAACAGTTAGTGCATGTCTTGTTCAGATTCCCTCTCTACCACGCACCCCAATAAACTGAGGTCGAGTCAATTATGAGTCATAGTGACCCTATGTAGGGATTTTGAAGCTGCAGATATTTCTGGGAGCAGACAGCCTCATATTTCTGCCTTGGAGTGATTGGTGGGTTTGAACTCTGGTTAGCAGCCTAACGCTTCCCCAGCAGCACCACTATGAAGCCTTATACCTAGGGAGTACGTCATTACCAGTAGTCAACGTTATTCGTGATTGCAGAAGAGGAAAAGAGAGGTTGTTGGTTTTGTGGCTGTTGTTGATTTTCTAATGGACCCTGGTTTATAATAACAGAGCAATGTTTGACTCATCGAATCGTTGATCTAACAGATGGAGGCAGAAGAAGCCGCTTCTAAGATGTCATCAGTGAACCTGGAACACCTACCTCCCAGCTACCACAACGAGAGCAACACAGACACCAAGGTGGGAAACAGCACCGTCCACGTGCACCGGGAAATCCACAAGGTGAGGGCAGTCTCAGCCAGCCACCCCTGCCTTCTCTAGCTTCCTTCCGGTCCCCGTTGAGAACTCAGGCTGTGTTTGTCTGCTTGGTCTGTCAGACAAACGCACAAAGGAGGTTGATCAAACACAAATTAAAAGCCAGAGTGAGTTAAGGGAAGATCTATGTATCAGGCACCTAAGTGGCTTTTGCATTTAAGCAACACCTTGAACTCTAGGCTTCCTGCCAGTCCAAGCGCAGGGGACTGTTCGGGCAGGGAGCTATGTGACTGGAATGAAGGCGAGTGAGCACGAGCATGTCCAGAGCAGCAGTTCTCAACCTGTGGGTTGCGACCCCTTTGGGAGTCGAACAGCCTCTTCACAGGAACAGAAACACCGCTCCTCCAGACGGGTCCACCCATATGCAGACATGTCCACACATGAGTACCCCGTGTGAAGACTGTGACCCGTGCGACACCCTGCTTCAAGACAAAATTTCGTTTATTCGTCATTAGAGAGAAACGTTTCACAATCTATAATGACAAACTGTTTTTGTGATTAATCACTATGATTTCATGATACTCGATTTGTAACAATGGAAATATATCCTACATTTCAGATATTTACGTGATGATTCATAACAGTAGTAAAATGACAGTGATGAAGTGGCAACGAAAATGATGTTATGGTTGAGGGTCCCCACCGCATGAGGAGCTGTCTGGTCTCAGCCTGTGAATTCCCCCGAGCCTTCTCGGGTTGCCGTGCATATTAATCCACATACCAGCATTGAAGAAAGAAAAATATGGGGTGTTGGGTGATTGTTTTTAATTGCATTCACCTGGGAATCTCAAATCCTGAACATGCAGCCACTGTTTATGGGATTTTATGGTTTGTTGTCCTTTTGCATGGCAAGTCCCCCTCTATGCGCTTTCCGCAGTGCGGGACATAGCTCAGATCCAACTGTACAAATCGTTTAAATGACAGAGTGATGACATGGGGTCGTGGTGACAATATCCCACGCATCAAAGTCCTGAGGTCTCAGTCTGAGGAAGGTGGAGACCCACCGGTCTGGAGAGAGAGCCGTGTCTAGGCTTGAATCGGAGGCAGCCTCGGTCTCCTGGTTGTTTGCATGCATTTCAGTGGAGATTGACGGAGTGAGGACACGGGTGAACAGGTCTCCGCTGTGATCTTCCGAAGAAACTCCAGTGTGGTGTGCCCTGCCCTCAGACAGGGAAACTGCTCTCGCTGCCAGAGTCCACCCTCCCTGGTTTGCTGGTTAGCTGTTCCCCGGTCGATGGAAGCGTCGTCTGTCCCCACCTACCACACGTCTATGTCCGAGTCTGAAACATCGCACGAGGGGGTCTCCTCCGAATCTGACTTCCCAACGAAAGCGTGATAAATCCAGAAGGACGGAGCGTCCGTGCCACCCCACGCCCCGCTGCCCTGGAGGTGGGGGGCAGGGAGTTGAGCCCCACGAGATGTTGGCAGGACTCTGAGAGCACACTGTGCGCACACTTGGGCCTTCTGAGAGAGAAGCTCCCGGGGGCCGTGGGGTCACTGTTAGCAGCTGCAGAGTTGACTGTCTCCGGGAAACAGCACGGAATCTGACCTTTGATCTCGGCTCCTCTTCTCTGTGCAAATGCCCAGCGGCTTGGCACAAAGGCACCCAGGTTGTTACTTGGTTGCTAGGTGTCAGGCACCGGGCTGATGCTCGGCACCAGCCTGCGAGGAAGACTCTGGGAGTGTGTCTTATCACGGCACTGAGGGAAGCTGGCCACCCTCGGATAGCTGCTCAGAAATGGCAGGGGGGGGGGGGGATGTTCTGAAATGGGGTGGGGGGATGGCAGATGTTCCCGGTTCAGGAAATGGAAAGGACTGAGATTGCTCAGGGGAAATGCCCAGAATCCCTGTTTCACGACCTCTACTGCATCTTTTCTACGATAGGAAACCAACAACCAGACTGGACAAGCAGTCTTCGCAGAGACCGTCATTACATCCGTGGGCAATGAAGAAGGCAAGAGGAACCACGTGAGTCATGACACTGCCCCATGCCCCTACCCTCCCGGGCCAGGACACACACCACACACACACCACACACACACACCACACACACACACACACACCACACACACACACACACACCACACATACA